ATTATTTACCCTAAAACTAATCAGGTCTCTGCATAGTCCTAAAGGATCTATGTACCAAGTTTCATTGAAATGCGATCATTAGTACTTGAGATACCCGTGGAAAAGCTGAAAATTAACTAATTATGCAAATTAGGTGATTAATATGCACAAATATTTATCGAAAACAATCAATCTCTGCATAGTCCTTGAGTATGTAAGTACCAAGTTTCATTGAAATGTAATGCTAACTACTTATATCAAATGCTGAAAATTAATTAATTATGCAAATTAGGTAATTAATATGTACTGATATTACCATAAAAACTATCAGGTCTGTGCAGTGTCGTATGACATCTATGTACCAAGTTTCATGAAATGTGATGATTAGTACTTGAGATATCAGTGGAAAAACCGAAAATTGACTAATCATTATGCAAATTAGGTAATTAGTATCCACGGATTATTACCAAAAACTAATCAAAACCTAGCATTAGTTCAGAGCATCTATGTACCAAGTTTCATCAAAATCCAATGAGTGGTTGTTTAGATATCAGTGGAACAGTCATGGAACCACTAAAAAATAGCTAATTATCATGCAAATTAGGTAATTAATATGCACGGATTTTTACCAAAAATTAATCAAATCTGCACATATGTTCAGAGCATCTATGTACCAAGTTTCATCAAAATCCAATGAGTGGTTCTTTAGATATCAGTGGAACAGTCATAGAACAGCTAAAAATTAGCTAATTATCATGCAAATTAGGTAATTAACGAGCATGGATTTTTACCAAAACCTAATCAAATCTGCGCATTGGCCCAGAGCATCTATGCACCAAGTTTCATCAAAAACCGATGTATGGTTCTTGAGATAGCAGTGGAACAGTCGGACACACATACACACACACACACACATACATACACACATACATACACACACACATACACACACACATACAGACACACTAACTGCAAAGACTCCCATTTTGTGCTTCGCACATGGGAGTCAAAAAACTAATTTTTGTTTCAGTAAGACAACCCTACCTATTTACATGTTAACCAATAACAGCTTTGTTTGAAAGGTAATGTTTTACAGCCACTGTTATTGAATTCAGAAAATAAACAGTTGTCATTATCAATTTCTGTAAAGCGAAAAATTCTTCATCACATCAAAAATAATATTTCTTCAAGGAGGGAAGGGGCCTTAGGTTTCTGCATTGAACTAGAACTATAAGTTCCACTCACAAAGATTATGGAGGTTATCGACACCATCTTCAAAAGTCATGTCATGTACATCTTGATAAGGAGCCTTTTAGTAAAAATGGATAAAGATCCAAAAACACTCACTTGAGAGCAAAAATGAACTTAAACAAACTAAATCGCATCAACTTCGCATGACCCAAAGAAAAAAGGTTTGTTTGTTTGTTGAGTCTTATACTAGTAGGCAACAAGGTGGGTTCTCATTAAAATAAATATTCCCCGTAGTCGTCAGGTGGGTATGTATTATTGAAAGTGTTGTGGTCTCGTTGTGAGAATAATTACCATTTTGGTTTGGTATTATAAAGACTACATAAATGGCTCCAGTGGGGGTAGCCATTTTGGAATATTTTACGAATAAATTAGGAATTTAGATTCCAAATTAGATTTTACGAGTTTGTGAAAGTACAGAGGTTAAATAACCATAATAAATAATGATGGCGAGTGACAGTATTGTGAAAACACATAAAAATTCAATTACGGAATAGATACATGTACAAGCTGTGTTTAATAAAACAAATGTAAGAGTAGGATGTGAATGTGTAGTGTGTTCGCACACTGTATTAAGTAGGGTAAAAGATGTTTATATGCAATATTCATGAACATGTGCAGGGTGTTCACACAGTGTTCACCCATGTGTAGTGTTTATCCATGCACATGTGCAGGGTGTTCACACAGTGTTCACCCATGTGTAGTGTTTATCCATGCATATGTGCAGGGTGTTTGCACATGGTGTTCACCCATGCATATGTGCAGGGTGTTTGCACATAGTGTTCACTCATGTGCAGTGTTTATCCATGCATATGTGCAGGGTGTTCACACAGTGTTCACCCATGTGCAGTGTTTATCTCCATGCACATGTGCAGGGTGTTTGCACATAGTGTTCACCATGTGCAGTTTTTATCCATGCATATGTGCAGGGTGTTCACACAGTGTTCACCCATGTGCAGTGTTTATCCATGCACATGTGCAGGGTGTTTGCACATCGTGTGCAGGGTGTTCACACAGTGTTCACCCATGTGCAGTGTTTATCCATGCACATGTGCAGGGTGTTTGCACATCGTGTGCAGGGTGTGTTCACACATAGTGTTCACCCATGTGCAGTGTTTATCCATGCACATGTGCAGGGTATTTTTAAAGAATGACAAGACGAATGGAGATTTACTGGAAAAATGGTCATTTCGTGTGTGGCAAAATGTGTGGCAGATTACACAAAGATGAATTTGATAAATCATTCTTTAGCAATATTTGCTTGTAATTCCAACACTGCCAACACCCAAACTACAATAATTTAATGTATGTTAAATATTACAGTAAAGAAAATACGATAGGCACATGATTGAAAACCACTTCCAAATTAATCATCAACGCAGGATATGAAATATGACTAATTAATTATAGAGACAATTAAGGTACTGTTGATAATCAGGCATGCATGATACAATTTTAATGGGTTTTTAAAAATGAAAATCATAATAGATGTACAGTGAAGAAAATTTGACACTTTTAATTCTGGCATCAACGTTAATTAGCGAACACTTGTCATTAGCAAATATTCAATAAAATCCCATTTTGTAGCACTGTGCGGTTAGTGGATAGATCAAATTTAACTTACATTATAACGACAAAAGTGAAAAAAACAAAACAATCATTTTGTTTTTTTATTTGGAATCAGTAAATTAAGCCCATGTAAATTGAGTAACTGTCCCATTGTGAACTATTCAGATCATAAAAACCTCAAAAGCTAATAAAATACTCACTACTGTATTTCATTTATTAAAAGTACTGGGAACTCCTTAATCTTATTCACATAAATGCATTTTCAATAGACGAAGTACGAGACCAGTTTGAGTGGCTTGAATCAGTTTTTAAATAGTACAGTATATAGTGTATAGAAAATAGCATTATTAAACACAATTCACTGAGTGTGGTGTACCACATCCCATCATTAAAAGCAGCTTTTTGAGGGATTTCATTCAAATCTATTACAGTTGATATGCTACTTGTAATCTGGATGAACTTTGATTACATTCAGGATACAGTGATGAATTATATTTAGAAGACTTCATATTCATCATTTTTCAGAAACAAAAAAATTAAAAATTACACCCTTATAAAATCCAATAAATTATAATACGGATATTGAGGCCATATCAAACCCAGCGGAAAGTGTCATCTGAAAGCATGGAAATACTTACAATTCTCTACAACCACCTGCAATAAGAAGACCCTTGGGCTTTGCGTAGATCAAACATGGCTTACTTAAAATAAAAGATAAATTATTGCGTAAAATTAATTGCAAACTAATAAGTCTTTGATAGCTGATGGATATTTGCCCGAATACCAAATACTTTTTTTATGCAAATGTATTGATCTATAACGCAGCTAGAAAAACGCTCAATATCTCAGAGTATACTTAACCCACCAAACACTAAGCCTTTAACCAAATTATGACAGTCTTTATGCAACACAAACTACAGTGAAGCAATTTGAGAATTTATTATGATCCTTAAAGGGCGGCAGTCATCGTGCCGCGTCCTGTTCGATATGGGACTCATAGCGACGTATACAATGCGTGTAAACTACATTGTTTATTTACATGAAATTCGAACACGCACTGCGCGACGACCATCACGCTTTTAACTTTTAAATTCTATTTTTTCCCTGCCCCGAATTTTGATGTAACATTTTTTATGTATTTTTCTATAATTTCTTCATCAATTTTGAACCAGAGGAATGTAATTTTCCATTAGCTATCAGTCTCAATCTAAATTATGACAAAAATCTGAAACAAAGTGTGTAGTTTTATCCTTTGAATGTAAGCTGCAAAAGCTGAATGGTTTTCAAAATACTTATAGACACTACATGTATGTCACAGTGACACTGGAATTTTTTTGTTCTCGCGAATTTGCCAAATCCTGAAAATAGTTAGCAAAACTATTATTAAATTATTTACAGAATGTTGTATTTTACTTCACTGTTTTTGGAAATCTTCAATGACTATACATCTCACGGTATATAAAAGTAGTTATTAAACACATGCTACAAAGTACAGGAAACACAATACTAAGAAAAAGTAATAAACAGTAGTATTCATTGCCACCAAAATACATTATTGAAATAAACAAATTTTTGATTCACTGAAATAGAAAGTAACAGTAAACACAGCTTTAATTTCACACAAGAAAGATTTTTTCCATTTTTGTGAGTAAAAAAAAATTCTGTAGCCTATCATTTTCTAGGGTCCTCAAGACAAGGAGTCACAGTGACTTCAGCAAAAAATTCTGTTCGAAAAGATCCTTGAGAGAAAATGTTAACCATGCATGCATATAAGCCTGTAATGAGAAATTTAAGCAAATGTAAAATTGCATAATAAACATCTCTCACCTTACTCGTCTGTCTTCCTCTTTTTTCAATCTTTCGTCCCGTTTCAGGACATCAAGGATCTTCCGCTGCTCTTCCTCGGTGAGAAAACTCAAGTCCATTATCCCGGACATTCCGAATGCGATTGGGATCGGGAAAATAAACCACTAGGCACCTCTTGCTGCATAGAACAGAATTAAAAAATACCTCCGCAACGACGTGTTATTATTTTCTTTTTTTGTTTGTTCAAATTAACAAAATTAATGAACTATAGACAAAAACTAATTAGCTTTGGGGTGTTCCATTGTTGATGAAATGCAGGCACGTCTGACTTTGGCAGTGTTTGATTACTAAGGCCGCTCTCAGTCCATAAAATGTACACAGATGCATAGATGTGCAAGACGTTGCATAGATTTATCGCTTTAATATGACAGCTGAGTTATCTGTCAATATCACCTTAGTACAACGAAAGCTGAAAGTACTTTCTCGATAACAGATCTCTCGCTAATGCTTTCAATTCCACAGCTGATTACAAGTGTTCCAGGATTTTCAAAATCCCCTGACGTTCAATACATTCTGGCTAGAATCCTCTAACAGCAGAGTTGGAAAACATCTATGATCCAGGATAGATAATACACTTTCCAATTGATAGACTCAATATGCGATGACCTCGTCAATTACAATGACAACGGGTTGGTTATAATACTGCTGGCACTAAGCACTGTGGTTCAGCGCATCGGGGTAATTTCAACATGCAATTTAGCTAACAGCTAATCCACTTGTGAAAGCTTCAAGGTAATTTCCGATTAATCCAAATGATAGAATTGAAGGTGTTCCGTGATCAGTCACAGTGAGGACCGTTCACTTCATGTGACGGGATACCTTTCAAGCACTATTACCGACGGTGACAGTCAACAATGCGTGCGGCGCAAACCAGTTTTCTGCTTTGACAGTTCCTCCCTGATCTGCTAACTGAGTACTAACAGGATAGGCTAGAGATAGATCCACTCAAGTCACATAGCTGTCCCATCGCTTGCCGTGTTGTCCTCGCAGCCTGCACTTCTGAAATGAGGACAAATAGAGTGTTTCAACTACGTGATGACAATAGAAACTATGCAAGCCTATTGTTATGCTAATTAACCTGCATATAGAAAGCCCCACAACACATGGGTGGGGAGAATGCAAATAGCTGGTAATTCATCAAAAGCCTCTTCAATAAAGAATAAAGCCATGAAACACTGTTTACAAACAATACCCACGTCTACCTACACCTGATAACACAATAGCAGTACGTTTACTACTAAACACAACCACATGCACTGCCTACCTGTAAAAAGTGCAAAAGTCAGCTAGTATTCACGGAGGCCCAATTATAACTAAAACCTGATATGGCTGAATTTGGCCTCGTTTCATAAACAGACACAGGAATTTCTGCCCAGTTCATGAATTGCAAATTTCAGCCACAAAGGACATTGCACAGTTCAGGTAATAAACTGAGACATACACTAAATACCTATGTGAGTCACCACGGACCACTGAGAAGGAGATACAGTTTTGTAGGGTGTTTTTTCCCCAGAAGGCATAAAAGTGTCCATTGCAATTAAGTCACAGCAACTTATTTCTGAACTAAATATTAAATATTTTTTCCTCAATCCAGTTTATTCATTTGTTGATTTTTTTATAATTCTGAAATTTATATTTAAAAGAACAAAGTTTAAATATTGCTGAATTATATTTTATACAAATTGAAGGTATATTCATAATAGGGGTTGACCATCTGACACTGAGGGTGGAGATGCCAGAGAGCACCTCTGCAAAATACTCTTTTCCTATTAGAAGTATTTCTGATGGGAGCGGGAAGGATAAAGTACCCCTAACGAGAGATTCAATTGGATGATATCATGCAACATGTCTGGAGTTATGAATTGTAAACCAATAGGAAATGACTTCACTCACTATATTTTGAGAGAGCTTAGGGGAGGGAGGAAAGGACAATAAACAGAATGGCGAGATTTGTAGCATAATTCAAGACTTGTCAAATTAGGGCTAAGTACTTGCGGAATGTACATCACTTGTTAGAAAACTCAGTCACGCATAACGAACATTTGTCAAGCCAAACCTTTTTTGTAAATGTTGAAATGAAATCTTGAGAGGTCAGGTTATCCACACTGTTGCAACTCACTGAGAAATCAGAAAGTCAGTGATGGGAAATCATACAAATAACTGCTTAATTTTATACAAATTAAAAGATAGTTTGTTAGTTTTTGTTATGATATAACATTTCCTGGATTATTCTCATTAACCACAACCACTCTAAATAAGCATTGGCAGAGTAAAATTTGCAGCAATCTACTGTATACTCTAATGCTGTACAAAAAGCCAATGTCAACTTTTGGCAATGTTCCCAACTTTTTTCAGATATTTTCAACAATTTTGATTAACATCTGTAGGAAATGAGCAATTATATCCATTTAATTCAAAATTAACAAAATATTTATAAAAAAATCTGTAAAAAAATGTGCAAAATGTTGAATGAAAATTGTGGCGGGAAAACAATTTTGCACTCAAAAAGGTTAGACATTATATATCGATACCATATAAAAATCTGAAGAGTTTTATTTATGAATTTGAGTAATATCTATAAAGCATCATAAATTTTTTTATTTTATACAATCCTGAAGCTTATCGATCAATACAGATGAAATTGCTATGAATAAAAGTTTAATTTCTCACAAAAAGTTAACCTCATATTTAGCTATATATTTTGTAAAGTAATCTATTTCAAGGTGTCACAAAAAATCCAATCATGAGCATGATTTAACTGATCTTAATCATATTCATTATTATGGTAATTAAGGAAATGAAAGTACCCTCCAGTGATGCGAAAAAAACAGCGCCCTCAGGTGGTCTGAATCAACAGCCAGTCGCAAGTGTAAAAAGCATCCTGCTTATAAGATATATTGCTGGCTGAGGTTCATTTTATATAGTCACTGACTGAGAAACAAGCTACATGGTACAGCAAAATGGTTTTACAAAAGTTATTAGAATAGGGCTCCCTCTAGTGACCAATATATAAATCAACAGGTGTCTGTCATGGCATTTAAATTTAACAGACAGAGAAATTATCACAACTGCTCTAATTTTTTTCAGTTTTTTTAAAATTTTTTTAATTAATTTTAAAGATGATGAAGAAAGCAATGTAACCCATGAGAGGAACAAATTAAATAAATTTTATAACACAAGATACTTTTTATTTTTTTTTATTTTTATTTTTTTTATAAATTAATAATAATCAGCCTTTCATTGAATAGTTTCCATAGCAATACATTTGTCTCTGATTTTAGTATTATGCAAAATCGAAATGCAGAACAATAATGACAATTATCACAATCATGCTATTTTTAACAGTAACGGGAGCGGCCATATGTTTGTTTGTACGAGTACAATGCACACTGAACCCAACACGTTTCAAATTACTTTTCAATATACATCTAAGTATATATGGTTTTTATAGAAGGGAAGCAATCACTTATGTGTTATGTAGGTTTGGGGAGGGTGGGGTTGGGTTAGGCTGGTGTGTGGGTGAGGGTGGAGACAATATTCTAATGATATTTTAGCAATGCAATTTTTATATCAGTTTTCGTGTTTCTGTACCACACTGCATATTACTCTATAATGGTTTGCTTAGATTAATGCTAACACAGAAAACAATATTATTTTTGATCCACTGAGAAGGAACATTATACTTCTATTCTACTTGTGTATCTATATATCTCTGGTTATAGTGTGCAACCAAACAATACTTAGATGTCTAAAAAAGCAATTTTAGCTGGAATTAATTTTCGCTGAAAAGACTTTTTGGGTGTTTTGAATGGAATTTATTTTCATTGATTTTTAATGAGTTGAATGTTAAATATAGGAAAAAAAGGTATATTCGCTGGATTTTATTTTCACTGAATCATTTCTTCAGCGAAAATGGCAAAAATTAATTCCAAGCAAAAATTAAGTATTTTACAGTATGTCATAAAATTGTATGAAAATAGAGACACGCATTTTATAACCAACTAAACAATTGACCTATGAAAGAAATTCTATTCTACAATCTCAAAATAGTCGTCAAAATCATTCTTGCAACTATTAAAATTTTGAAAAAGAAATAATGACTTTTAGCTTTTAGGAGACCTTTTTTCTTCCAAAATAATGATTTTTTTTATTCAACGTATATCTATTCAGATGATTGATCTTTCTCTTGCGGGAAGTTGCCATTTGTGACACAATCCAACCATGAAGCCCCATATTTGTAACAGACACACATCGCGGAGCGCATGTTAATACATCATATGTAACCATGCATGTTGCGATTATATCTTATATGAATAATTCATCTGACGCAACAAGAGAATTTTTATGAGTGCTTTTTAATAAAACATTTCCATGAAACACCACATAATTTAACAAAGATGACCAATTAAGTTCCTGGCTTATTTTACCCATAGTTCAATGCAGTAAAACCAGCATGAAAATATAGTCATATATAATGGATAAGTCGATGCAGTTAAGCTGAGTTTTAATTATAAAGTGGATTATTTAAATGGTGGATTATAAGACAGATGTTTCATGACATGGTGTTCAGACAATACACGCTTTTATTAGACACCTCTTCAAATCATAAAAATTTCAAAAGAAATATATTCCTACACATTTTGCGAGTCAAGGAAAATGTGCCTTGGATGTAAATGGCTGCCGATTTCCCATTGTGATTAAAAGTGCAGCGATGAGACTCGTTTTTTCGCCGTCAAATAGATTGGCTTGAAATACATGGAGGCATCAAAAGCAATTTAAGGGTGGTGGTCGTCGCACCGCATTTTTTTCATTATGGAATTTATAGCGATATAATAGCACTTGTAAAATATTGTTTGTTTTCATGAATTTCGAACATGCCACTGCGTGTCGACCACTTCCCTTTCTTGATGCCGAACAAGTTTGCCATGCGCCCTTCAATATTCCCTATATAGTTTTTCAATGTGCAATTTTATTAATTTTGACATTGACAGTGGTGCCCTCTAAAGCCCTGAAAAACTGAACCCTCTTTGAGTGGTGAAAACAAGTCGCGCGGCTCGCAACAAGATCTCCACATCCATTTTGTAGCTGTAAACATTGTAGCAATACATTTCATCTCTGTGAATTTATCAGACTGGACAGATATGCTTTAAAAGTATTTTGTTAG